GCGTTTAGATCCTATTAGAGGTCGACTAAAAAGTATGGAACGTTGAATTGGAATATAGCATGCAGTTTCCAATTAAATAACTTTCCATGTAACCCTCTGGAGAAAATAAATATTTAATTTCAAAGTTGAATTGGTAAGATGCAACTTATTTACTAATGGGAATCGATAAAATTCAAATTATTTGTGTTTAAAAAGTACCATAGGAGCAAAGTTAAATGAAACACAATTATTATTCAATGTGTACTATTGAAGATTAATTAAAAGAAGTCTGAGAAAAAATTCAAGAATTTAAAAAATTAGGTTCACAAAACACCTTCGCGAGATGTTAATCATTTGAAAGAAAAAATCACAAACACTTGTAATGAGTTAAACGGCGAAATAAATTTATATAAATATGATATACTTACAATGTTTTCCGTATCAGCTATGGTGACGACGTACCCCAAAATCACTATAAGGGCAAAGGTACGAATTTCCAAATCTGTGATTTTCCAAAAATATCCATCCTCCCACTGACTAATAAACAAGTAGATGTTTATAACCAAGTTGGCCACCGAGATGTTGAGCCAAACCAAAAGTCCTGGATTGAAGACGTTACTCGCGTTCTTGTAGACACTGGCCATAGCCAGAAGGAACTTGGGGTACTTTCGAAGAAAACCTTCTAAATCCACGATGCAATTGTAAGGATCGCGCATATTTACAAACAACTGCTTCTGGGCGTTTTTTACCATGGCTCTCATGACAGTCAGTTGTTGTGAAAAAATGAACGTTACTGTAAATTGCGCTGACGTGCTGAAGAGCAGGGTAATTTCAGTTAACACGAAGGTTTCTATGAATTTGATTTTGGTTAGAAACAACAAAAGCACCACTAATATGGCTGACAATAGATATAACAAGAAGAGTAAAATTCTGATAATAATTGCCCTGATGGTAAACTTCCGGCAAAAAGAAGATGTGGCCAGGTTAGTTATTCCAAAATCGTTCCTTTTTTCTACGATGTCACACCATCCGTTCAGATTTGCCATCCAACCCTTCCATTTCAGAAACATAGAAGCGGCTATGCTGACGCCGCAAATGGAAAACACTTGATCGGATGCTACCACCAATCTTTGAATCTTACTGTAGTGGTTAAAATTGGTTATGAAGTCTTTAACGTTCCAAATGACCGCCAGTGTCATCGCTAGTAATGTCATCAAGGAAATCCATTTGTAGTACCTTCTCTCTTCAAATCTAGGACCTCCAGAGAAACCTTCTTTGACGCGATGTTTGCAGAACCCTTTGAGTGGTAATAACATTGGCGCGCATTCCACTGAAGTTGCTACGGTGCACACCATGCAATCGGATATTTCGAACTTTTCTGTTTTCCTCAGCCAAAAGGCTTTTAGTGATTTAAAACAGTTCATACTTTAAGAAAACACTAACTTAACAGGACATGCTTGACTTCTTGGGAAACGGCAAACAACAAATTGATCGTTGGGTACAATTCGTGTGACACGTACTTTTCTAATTAATTTGTCGTTCTACACATAACTTTGCTGACGAAACAAACATATAATTTTCACTATCGATTGATGATTTAATCAACTGATGAGACAACAGCTATTTGTTTGTCCAGGAAATTGAATCGACGTTACATTTTACACTAATAGCTATATTTTTTAAGGATTCGTCCTGGCAAACTTATTATTAATGGTACTTCTCTTAAAAGATAGTTTAGTTTTTTTAATTATATTATTAAAGGCATTATAAATTTGCAAATTATGAGATACCAATATCCTTTCTTAATTTATCAAAAGAATTGACAAGTCTTTCACGAAATTGGGAAAAAAGATCAAGTGATTCCAATACATCTTGTAACTTTCTCTTAATATAAGTATCACCTAGTTAATTTTTTTCAACTTTCAAATATAAAAGCATTTTTGAAGGCAAATAATTATGACGATGCTTTTATATAGGATGTTAGAGTAATATAGAGATTTAGAGTAATTAAGACCAATCCCAGCATCAGCGATTAATGAGATGAAGATCATTTTGTAAAGCCAAAGAAAGTGATGTGAAGAACTTCAAGTCGTCGGCATTGGAAGGCGATCCGGACACAGTCCCTTTAAAGGTCCGATATATAAACTAGAAATAAAATAGAACCCAACACTGAACCCTGTGGTACACCACCTAAACATCTCGATCCCAGAAGTTACAGTCATCAATTCACACTATAAGTCGCCTTTATATCCTTTAATTAATTCAGATTTACGTTTGCTAAACCTAGTACATACATATCTGGTAAGAAATTTTAAGCTTTAGAAGGTGATATTTGCTATAATCGTTACCTTTCTCCCGTGCTAATAATATACACTTGATATTTTAATTGTAATAGACAAAATGATATATTTTCTATGAAGAATCGTTGCCTTAAGAAAATACATTCCAACAGAAATGGAAAGTTGATTGAAAGGATACAATGTTAAAACTTGTGTACTTGATCGTGATATTGTTTTGAGGTTAATGTTGTAATGACGTTTATTATGCTCGAGTAAAATTAATACAGCTCTAATTAAATTTACAAATGAAAAAGATGTGTTTTTATTATTTCAAAAATGGAATAATTTATTGACTAATCAGTAATCTAGCTACATGGTGCCAAGTCCCGGCTTACTTTTATAATATTTTTTCTTCTTGATTACTTACATATGTACTTTTCATTGGCGAAATAATTGATTTGTTTATGCAAACTTGTACATAAACTGAGGCTGTTTACAAAGCGAACTACAAATAATGCAGCGGAAGTAAGCAACATATGGCTTATGTATTGCCCGAGGACAATTTCCTTTTATTTTAGCGATAATGAAGAAAGTAGGTGCATATTTAGGTTCACTCTGCTGATAATTGCCAATTAAATTTAAGTGTTCGGTATCAATAACATGTTTTTTTCATAACTAGATTTATTAATGGCACTTGCTAATTTTCTCTAAAAATTTACAATATCCCCTTAATCCTATAAGTGAAGAAAAAGAGAAGTCAAAGCTTATACATAAAGTAAGTAGAATTCAAATTTATATATGTTCCTGGTACTCAACCAGCAATATGAGCAGAAGAAATTAATTTGGCGCCCAATATAACACCTAATTCTTTGACACAATCAAGTCCAAACTGCGCTGAAGTTTTTTACAGTTAGATATTGAATAGATTTACAAACCATTAACTTACAGCAAAAAGTGAACCTAAATTATTCGCGTTGTCATTGAAGAAATGAATAAAAAAACAGTGGGCCGAGTATCGAGCCCTGAGGCACACCTTATATTTGGTTAAAATGTTCAAGCTTACGTAGCAGTGCTTCTTGATCTAATTTAATATTTGTTTTAAAGCAAATAATCCACTTTTGACCTGTCATTAACCTGGATATACTAACAAACAAGTGTGCGAATTTGAAAAATTGACTGAACAAGTGTCGTAGCCCAGTCTAGAGGTTTCGAGCTATAAATAACGACATCTTTAATAAAAAATTTCGCTTACTTTCATATCGTCAATAAAACGGACAGGCGAACATATGTTTGATATTTGAATAGTATTTTTCACGGAACCCACAGCGAGGAGGATGCAACAAAAGAGAATTCGAGATGGAAAGCCTTGGTAAAAGTAAATTTTCGTAATTATCTGCTGTAATTTATGTCCTGCCTAGATCAGGTCTCATTTAATATGTATAATTAACCATCCCGTATATTAATCACTGGTAAAAATATACAGGGTGCTTTCTACGCTGTCGGCGTAACTTTATTAAGTTATTTCTTGGGTAAATTTATATACAGTGTGTCCCAATTCGGTGTTCAAAGTTGTCATTTACATTTTGAATAACATTTGGTGTTATGTTTCGAACTTCTTTTCTGATACGATTTTTCAATCTTTCGATGGTATCTGGTCTGTTCACATAGACTTTGGTTTTTAGATACCTACCCCACAAAAAAATCTAGTGGGATTAGGTCAGGGGAGCGTGGTGGCCATCCAAGCGGTCCTATTCTATCGATCTATCGATTTGCGAAAACTTCATTAAAGTCATTTCTTCCATCCAGGCGAAAATGTGGAGGAGCACCATCTTGTTGGAACTAGACATCACCAGCAGGCATATCGTGCTCATTACGGTTAGAAAAAATTAATTCCAGGGCTGGAATCAACTGAAAACGCAAACAATCGAAATAAATGTCGCCTGTAAAATTGTCCTCAAAGAAATAAGGTCCCAGTATGCGATTTCCTACTATTCCAGTCCAAACATTCACTTTTTTCGACAATTGTGCATGTTTCTCTTACATCCAATGCGGATTTTCTGGGCTCCAAAACCTTTAATAGTAATAATATACCGCACCTCTCCCGTACAAGTTTACGAATCTGTTCTATAAAAGCAACTACTTCGATCGCATTATCAGAAAGTGACATTTCTCATTAAATTTCATTGAAATTACCCTTTTAAAATTTACAATTTCTGACCAATTTTAACTCCATCTATCAAGTCAACTAGATTGTGTTGGAACAGTTTATCACCCTGTATAAGTAAATACTAACAGCTCCCAAGCTGAATTTTCTAATTTGTAATAATATATTGTTCAAAAATAAGTAAGTATTAAAGGCATGTCTGCTAATATGTACGAGTATAACTGATTGAACTGGCATAATCGCTTCCTGGCAATTTCCGAACCAACTTCCGACAATTCCACATCAGTCTCAAAGCGAATCGATCCGTATCATCGCCGTAAAATATTTGTTATTACACAAAGCTCATTGCACGTTATTATGAAAATGATGTCATTATAAAGCGGATAAATGATGGCTTTCTAGCTTCATCCACGGAAAAGAACGCGTTCTCTCGTCATTACCTACAAGTGTGCAGAACAAACAGGATTTTTCGAAACAGTCAATCTCGTCTACGACGGTAGTTCGGAAGTGGTTGCGTTCCTTTTGAGGCTCAGCCCCACTTCAGATCACGAAAATATATATGTGTATAGGAAAGTCCGCCGAGGCTTAGTGTTTCTCCAATAGAAACGAGAACTTTTATTTTCGCTTGTGAGTCTGGCGGCAGATATGGAGGTGTTTAACGTGAGTACCGTTGCATTTATCTCGACGTAATATCTAGTTTTTTGCTTTTTATCATGCTAATAACCTTGTCACGCTTTTGTAATGTGTCACCGGGCGAGAGGAGAACCTAAGCTTTATCGATTTTCAACATATCTGTCAAATGAACTATTAGATATCTTCTATTGCTTTCGAGTTAAAGCTCGATATTTGTGTTATGCGTATAATTAAAGTAAATAACTAGATTGGTGATATTATTTCTTAGGTATCTCGACTTTTGTGGAATTTAAATAAAAAAAAATCGTGGCGTGGTTGGGGGAAATAGGGGTAGTAGCGCCTATTGACCCTCACAACTTTTCCTGCGCATGAGTATGATTCAAGGATGTTATTTTTTAATTCAGGCATTTTTTTGTAAAAAATTGAGTATACTGGATCAACAAAATGACGAAACAAAGTTGCTTTTTCTTTAATGGAACACCCTGTATATTATTCTGTATTTCAATTATTCTCGAAATTCTAAACCAAATTCATACAGGGCATCGTGTACCTAAACTTAACCATTTTCGAGATATCAAATTTTGAAAGTAGGTAACTTTTTAATATTCTCAAATTTATAAAAGAAAAAGGGCCCCAAATATGGTTATTTATTTTGAAAATAGCACAAGGTGGAGGATATGGATATGCTTTAACTTTACTATTAGCTTTTTACAGAAAATATAAAAGCATAATAGTTCAGGGTTGATAAAAATGCATGAAACGAAAAAAGTATTTTATAATATATAATAAATGTCCTGGATGTTTTAAATTTTATGAAAACAATGGTTAGGTATGCCAGAATAAAAAAGAGAGAAAACAAGTTTTAATAAACAACAAATACTTTCTTCGGAATTCTATTTTATAAGGTGCTCAAATTGTTCACCATTTACTTCATGGCAGTAATGAATTCGCTGAACAAAATTTTGTAGTGAACTTAAAAGATGTTGGGAGGAATAGTGGATATTTCATGCCTTATCCTTTCCTGCAACTCTTCGATATTTTGCGGCCTATTTTTGTAGACTACATTTTTTATGTGACCCCACAAAGAAAGTCAAACGGAGTCATATCGGGAGACTTAGCTGGCCATTCAATTGCCTCTCTGTTGATGTTGAAACCATATTGTCAGGAAACAATATGCAGGTGACAAAGTTGATATTTTCATTTAATTTATCCATAATAACTTCGCAGAACTCGATTCTACGATCATAATCGTCTTTACTGAATTCTTGTAACAAACGAATTTTATATGGATGTAATTTTTCCCGTTTGCAAATTTTTTCGACTAATAAAATCTTCGAATTGAACTAACAACAATTTTATTTAAAGTTATTAACTTGCCCAAATAGTATAACCTAGAGAAATATTTAAACCTTCCTCCTTGAACACCCTGTGTAAAGTGAATCATGTACTTTACTTATCCTTAATGCTGAAATATATATATAACGAAATGTTAAATTAAACTTTTTAACTAATAAATAATTGTAGTAAAAGAGGCACTTTAACCTTGTATTAATTTTGTATCCCATAATAATTTATTTCATATTATTGCAGGTATTGACTTTTATCGTTTGTGTAACGATCGTTGTCCAGATAAATAGCTCCCCCCTTCCAGGTCATCACCAGTAAGTATAATTTATATTTACATAAGTAATTGCTATTTATCATGTACCTGGAACGATAATTGCTTGAATTATAGTAATATAAGCAAACGTAGATAGAATTACAGTTTAATATGCTGTGTTTTCAGTAAAAAATGGGATACCCAGTCGAAACAAATTGCTACCCTAATCATGTTAAAATAAGTATACCTTGTAAGATATTTGGCATAAGTGCCAGCGTCAATTTTTTTTAAATCAGTTCTAAAAAATATCACTACAGAAAACAAGTTCTACATAAATATTTGTAAAGCAAACTTGCAATCTAACATCTAATGAGACCATTGCATTACACACAAAGTTTTATGTCTGTATTTTTTCAGTGTTCATCATAGGATAATCGTACCGCAGAAGATCAAAACAATCTACCACACGAAAATAGTAAAGGTGCCGGAGCACCACCATTACTTCCACGAGAAGGAAAAGATTATACAGCTGGAGACTTCTCATCACAAAGATGACCACAAAGAGGAATATAAAGATCTGAAGTACCCCCACTTCGATCATGACGAGGATTTCGATGACTTCTCAGACTTTCATCCTGGACATCACCATTATGGTGGTGAGAGGCATAATATTTTCAAGAAGCACGCGGTTGTCCCGAAAAATCGCAAAAGGACAAGAGCACAACGCAAAAGGGAAAAACACCATGAAGAGGAATAGTATTGATTATAGGAAATTTCTTGTTATTGCATTCAATATCCATTTCTCGTTTTTATTAGAGTTTGCTGTGATATAAAACTACCTACCTACTTAATATTATGTTGCTTAGCCTAAAGTGCTGATTTGTAGAGTGAAATTCACGTACTTTCGGATCAATCAGATTAACTAATGCAAAAAATAAAGGGTCAAAAGAATTTCCGAAATTTTTCTGTGATTCTTGACAGACTGTATTTAGGTGAAAAATGGTCGTATGGGGAATTAAAAAAAAGCATTTTGAAGCTCTAAAATACCAGTTTTTAGATCTTTCAATCGATTTTTTTAGGAGCTACGGTTATCATTAAATTCTTTCCTCTGGAAGAATGTTTTTAATTTTTTTTTTTTCAGAGAAGAAAAATGGTAGTTTTGAAAAAACTGTTTTTTTATCTGTACAAAAATTAATTAGAAATTTGTCTCAAAAAACGGTATGAATCGGGGTCAACTTTAATTTTAATTAAATTAAAAGTTGATGAACAGAAGCATAGGACGGAAAAGACTAATCGTGCTGGAAACAATTGGATTTTGTTTTCTTCAATGTCCGGAAGATTTTCCAAAAAAAAAAACAAAAAAACTTCAAAAATTTCGAAAATTTTTTCGAATTTTTTATTTTTTTCATCAATTTAAAACGTTATTTGCGGTAAAAATGTGAGAAAACCTCAAAAAAAAATTTTCCATTTCAATCATGATTATGAAGTGTTTATGCTCAAAAAATGTGACTCTTTAATTTTTTTCAAATGTGTGACTGTTTGAAACTCAAAACATTGTTACATAATTAAGATCTTTAGACATAATTTAGTTCCTATACTAAACATTTTTCTTTAAGACTGTTTTGAATACATCCACATGTTTTTCCTATTTATTTTTTATTCTGTTTCTACATATTTTTATTTAAATATTATTGTTTTTGTCTCCTCAAAGGTATATATTATAATATTCAATTTATATCACAAGGACTTAAAGCTACTTAAGTCGTGGCATGTGCAATTTGTAAATATTGTTACTTTAATTTTAAGCAATTTATTCAAAAATAAATTTTGATACTTAATATAGATATATTTCCATTTTTGATAAAAAAAAACAAACAGGTCTAACCATATTAATATTAAACACATCTATAACATCCACTTAAGATTATAGTTATTAAAATAGAAACATGCATATTATTTCTGCTAATTCTATACCCAACTGAGAAATGGCTTTGATTTTTCCAGATTATTGGTAAAGCGTAGGTTGTAGTTTAAATTATTTCCTAATGACGAATGAATTTCTTTAATGGTATGGAAACATTTTTTTCTCACATAATCGTCACGAAATCGTCATTTTCCTGACCTGCTTATAATAAAAATGTGATGAGTATAAATTATATTACTAGTTCTTATGGTCAGTATAACATTTAATATAAACTAAAACATATGTGTTAGTACAACGTTTCAAAAAATTTTTAATGTAACAATGATTTCTCTAATTTGCATGAACTTTCAACAAATTTATTACCTTATTTTTTCGCAAATTAATACAAAGATATATTTCTATTATACATATATACGACGTAAGAGAAAGTAAAATCTAAAAAATAGCAGATAATTCATGTCTTTTATTGTATAATACTTGTTTTAAACTTTAGTTAAAACTCAATTAACAAACGTATTTGATATTTTCGAATAAAAAAACGTTTCCAAAATTAGCTAATATGTGAATGTAAACTATATCAGTATCAGTTCTTACTAATAATTCCAAATATTTCGAATTTTCACCACCAAGAACAGCGGCGACAACGTTTTTCATAGTAAAGCGATGCTTCGCATTGTATTAGCTATGTCCCGTCCAAATTTGGTTAGTGCAACTCCCTGGGTTTTGAAAATTCAATACCTATGTATATTTCCAGCCACAAAAATTCAATAAATCCAAATAATATTTTAAGTAGATCACTCCTTGAGTAAAACTATTTGATTTTATTAAAATGTTTGCAAACCAGATGACATTGTATCTATAAATTTAATTTACATAATAGGTCTGACCATAACAGTTCCTCCAGTCCACTAGATCACTGGTTCACTAACGATCCGAGACGACATTCTAAACCGTTTTTGATGTACTTCCATTCATTACCAGCGGTCTCGGCGTAGTAGGCCATGATCATGGTTAAATTCGATACTGGGTCGAGGAATATTCGTCAGCTTGCATCACAGCAGTCTACTTTAATCTAAATTCATGGTACCTTCTAACGATACTTGCGAAGTGTGGTTGGCAATTTACCATGTTGGACACATAAGCATATTAATTAGGAATTCTAATGGCACTTCTACAACTCTGGTCATTCCGACACACATAGAAAGTTCTCATTTTGTGTCATTTGAAGTTTATTCCTCGCTCACGTTGTTAGGTATTTATTTTTTAAATGTGACATTTGCAATTATTAAATCTATGAGGAAATCAGTTTGTGATTCACTTTCTATCGTTTAACAATGTTAAATTCAAGTAAATATAAAATTTCACAAACTATTACGGCATTTTCCAAAATTATGTAACTTAATAGCTGATACTAGGAAAAGACCAGTTTTCATTTTCCATTTGATATGCAATAAACACAGCACACGTCAACAGGTTTGCGGCAACAAACCAGGTTAATTCTTGTGTACAGAGTTCCTTCCGACTTGTTGATATGAGTGAGGTATTTTTGCTTATTGAGTAGTTTATTTCATATAGCAGTACTGCTACTCAAAATACTTTATCTGCCGATTAAAGAGAAATAAATGACATCAATAATGTTTTTAAAGAAGCTCAAGAAGCAATTTTCCATTTATTGCCAGCGAAATCCAGCGAATATTACGAAATAGTATTCGCCGAATTTAACGAATGGAGGGGAAAAACAGAGAATAATGAGTGAAAATAAATGAAGAAGTCATGCTATCGCATTTTTTAATTTGCAGAAAAAATATGCAATTTCATCTATGTAGTCGAAGTAGGTATTCGATGTTGAAGGCTACTATAAAGGTCTACAAAAATATAGATGTTGAAAAATATAACAAACTTAGGATACACAGCAGAAAAAGCTGCAATATTGGAAAGAGCATATATTGAAGAATTTTTTACTGGGGCTTCCGATAAAGAATATTTAATGATTAAGGTAATATCTCTTGTAAATGTAATATAATATAATGTATAATATATAATAATAAGTAAATAAATTAAATATGATTTATTATAGGTTTTATTATTTTTTCATTATTTTACTAGTGAAATAAAGTTACTTTATTCCACTAGTGGATAAAGTATCACCTTAGACGGTTTATATGTGTGGATAAAAGTTCGATTATAAGGTGATTGGCATAAAATAGTTTTATCTCACTCTATATTTCATAAACTTACTATTGCCTTCTATGAAGCTTTACAAAAAAAGGTAATTATCTAATAATTAATTAGTTAATAATAGTTTTTATAATTTTTTCTATAAACTGTAGTTATTAAGAAAAAATATATTTAACAAACGTATTAATAACATAAACATATTTTATAACAAACTAACAGAAAAATAATCTATTACCTGAATTAATATTTTTACAAATGTGTACGAAAAAAGGGATATTAGTATAGTAAGCCTAGTAAAAAATGATTCGTGTTTATTTTTGCTTTCTAACCTACGCATTTGATTAAATTCTTCAAATTAAATTCTCATGAAATTTAAAATAGTATGAATTTTATTAAAAAGAAATAAAAATCGCTAGACTACGCCTGCTTTTCCTTTACGCATTTATTATGAAATATATATTTACAACTGAAATTATTGTTGACATTCTTTAGCATAGGCGTAGATGTAGGGAACTGGAAAAATGTTAACAAAATAAATTATTTTGTAGCAGCGTACTAGTTTGTTTTAATTATATATTTTTACTTTTATCTTACATTGAGATGAATTCTAAATATTTTCTAAAATTTCAACACAGAAAAACGTTCTGGTGCTGTAAGCTAATGAACAATCTCCTCTAGATTTCTTATATTGCATTGAATTATAATCCACAGTGCAGTAAGAGAAATAATGGCATTATTGGTGGACATTGCTATAATGTGTTTATATAGAAAGCACCCATTAAACACATTCTTATTAACAATACTTACATGAATGATTTAGATAACCGAAACAGGAAGTAACACAACCAAATTTCAATTTTAATTTTTCCATATCAGTGGCAAACTGATGGTTTTATACTTGCAATTTAAAGGACGATACAATCGCAAATAAAACGGAATATATCACTTACATAACTGATACAACAGGTCCATCTGAACAAAATGTATTAAAAAATATCCCGAAAGAAAAGAAAAATGTCAAGAACAACAGGTGCAAAACAGTCTTCTGATGGATTTGGATTTGGCCCGTTCATTGGAAGGATACACCAGAGAAATCTGTGGAAAAAATCTCTACCACGGTTACTGAATGCGAGAATTAACCCAGAAATCAAAGACTTGTGCTGGAAAGGGGACTATTATTCCAGACAATTTCAACTTTTTTGTATGAACATTTTTTGTTTCATTTGTTTTTTTGACCAAAATCTAACTTTGAAAATAAGAACTCATCGTCTGTGATAAAAAAATATCAATAGATAGATGGAAAATCACAGATTGTCTACAAAACTCAGCACTTTCTTTTTTTCGGAAGAAGAACCTGATAATATTTTAAAAAAGCAACTGCTAGCTTCCCTTGGAGATTATCTGCGCACGCCGCTGGTCATCAGGTAGGATTAAATCCTTGCGCAAAAAATAACGTCGCGTATCGGTGACATACACTGATACATATAAATAATATTGCCACATTTGGACTCTCTCCGACATGACACGGGGACTTTTTATTGTTTTTTACGACAGGACGCCTTGCTCTTGGCGTATTTCCTCTTTATGTAATCAAAAACGATAACACACCGCAAGGAAGAAAGTAGGGATGGAGGTCCACTTTTATCTATATAAACTATGCCATCTGTGGAAATGCATTATTCACACTCTTTCATCCAGTGTCTTGTGACTTAGTTCTCGTGGATTACCATTCCGATACGTAAAATGGCCTCCGTGAAAATTTTCGTGAGTATACGAAAAGATAACACTACAAAAATTAAGAAATACAATAAAATAATATCGGTATAATAAAAAATTCTATCTAGTTGTTGAAAATATGTACAATCTTTTAAAAACAATGGTGAATTTAGGTATTTTTATGTCTAAAATGTAAGGGCTAGTTTTCTTTAACGTTTTCATACTGTTATTTTCTTTTCTTAAAAAAAAACACTCGATTTTTCAAACATACTACAATTTTCGATATAAATTACAAATGTTTAAACAGGACCTTTTTATTTTATTAATAAATCAAGGTAAATCAAGGGAGAAGAGATTAAATTGACTCTTAATTTTAAAATAATAGAAAACATATAATTTAGACCATATCCAATTTTAAAGTGCTAACAAGATATTTATTTGTTGTTACTATATTATAATATTTGCCACTAAAAACACGTTTTGTTCCAAAAGTAATAAACGTTCATTAAATTTTAGACCATGCAATAAACATAACGATCCTATAGTGACAGTGAAATATTGACTTTACATGGTTTTCTTGAATTATTTGCGAATAAAGTTTTCTTATATGGAAAACAAATTGAAAAGTTTTATCTCACAAGGATTATAATTAACTCTGGCAACAAAAATGTTTTCATTGTACACATATTGTTGGTAGAAACAAAATTTTACATAATTGTATTTCATTTTAGGCTGTATTGTTAGCCTTCGTCCTGGTTTTGGCAGCAGCTGCACCTACTCCGGGATATTTGGGAGGTGGACAGTAAGTATTTTATAAAACTTTCTTTGAAATTATCAATCTAGTCGTAGTAGAATACGATCCACATTTTTTCTGTTACAAACACCGTTCCAAATTCCAAAAATAGTACCTGATAAAATATTAATATGTAAAGGAAAATAGTGAATGATCAATTGCAGTTAGTAAGCTATTGATTATATCCAAATAACAGGGTTAAAAATAACTACGACGTTCAAGCAATTTTATTGCATGAATCGTTCAAAGGGTCATTTTAGATGAAAAAACCACGAGCTGCTATTAAATTAGAGGGTTGAAATTGAAGATAGAGGTGAAAACGCACTTTTACAGTTTTTTAAATATAGCACGAAAACGGAGCAAAATTTCGTATAGTTCATAGGAAAAATTTGTAGAGAATTGAATTTCCCATCGAAATGCCTTATTTAAAAAATTTAAAACAAAAATTTTATGGAAAAAATCGTTAATAAACAAATCATAAAAAAAAGTTTTTTTGATTTTTTTTACTTATTTGACTAATTTATGTTAAAAACAACGAAAATCAAAAAAATATCTATGTTTGACCGGTTGAACTCTGTCAATATTAGTTCAAAAACTTTGAAAACGCATCATTTTAAAAAGAATCTCATCTAGTTTTTTTGTACAGCTATTTTCTTTGCCTACTTCTACTAAAAAAAATAGAGTCAAAAAAGTTAAAAAAATCAAAAAATCTAATTTTTTACTTTTTTAAAATTGTTTACTAAAGATTTTTTGCATAAAATTATTCTTTTAAATTTTTTAAATAAGCCATTTCGATGGGAAATTCAATTCTCTACACAATTTTTCCTATGAACTATACCGAAATTTTGTTTCGTTTTCGTGCTATATTTAAAAAACTGCCAAAGTGTATTTTCACCCTACCTTCAATTTCAACCCTCTAATTTAATAGCACCCCGCGGTTTTTTCAATTTTAATGACCCTCATGTGATGAAAATCCTTGAACGAATCTTTCCTTTTTGCAAAAAATGAGAATTAAAACGTATGAGAGGCCATATATCAGTCAATTCTCATCCAAATATACTGTACAACCTCTTTTTTTGAACGAAATTTTATCTACTTTTTTTATGAAGCAATGCCTATAGCTATCTTTACTCAAAAAAAAACTAGAGGCAAAAAAGTAAAAAAAAATCAAAAAATCGAATTTTTTGCTTTTTTCAAATTGTTTATTAACGATTTTTTGCATAAAATTTTCCTTTTAAATTTTTGAAATAAACCGCTTCGATGGGAAATTCAATTCTCTAAATAATTTTTCCTATGAACTGTAGCAAAATTTTGCTTCGTTTTCGAACTACAATTAAAAAACTGAAAGGGGTGCATTTTCATCCCTATCTACAATTTCCACCCTCCAATTTAATAGCACTCCGCGGTTTTTTCATCTAAAATGACCATTTGAACGATTCATCTAATAAAATATTATCTTGAACCTCATAGTTCCTTTTAAAATCCTGTAATCAATAGTACCAATCAATTTCAAAAACTGCTTAGATCTTAGAAATATTACAGTTTACGTTTGAGAAATATTCGAATTATTAACGTTAATGTTAATAAAAAATAGACAGATAAATCTCTGACCAAAAATAAAAAACGCTTCGTTTTTGAAACACAGATAATAACATTTTAACATTGGAAACGTTGGTAGTATAATAGTATACATGTAGATGTTAGGAAAATATGTATGTGTAAGGAAGAGCGATTATAAATTTCCAACAAAAGTTCGCCTGTCAGCACTGGGCGCAGGGGTAGTTCGATCGGACTGATTCGGGTGACGTTTGGATATTTCTGTGTCTAATAGGACATTTCGGTTATTTTTGTAAGACTCAAAGTTTAAGTTCAAACTATGTTTGCCAAGGCATATACGGTAAAAATTTGTAACATTGGCGGCTTTCAGAGTTGTTTTGTATATTACGTCATAACTCTTTTGTATAATATAGCAACTCAATGATTTTTTTTATTATTATTATTCAGAGAATAAGATAATAGTTAGAAAGCGACGTTTATAATTTCCATATAAAACTAGTTCAGAAATGACCATTAAAAAGCACAAACGTAGGTACATTTTTCCGACAATTGAACCAAGACTATAAACGAAACTACAACAGATTTAACAACCAAATTGTCTCCAGACGTCTGTCTCCGAACCGAAGAAAGCGACGGAACGAGAATCGAATTGGTTGCGTTGCGTAATGTCTTTCTGGGTTTGGTAGTAGAAAGGTGACTTATTTCACATACCGGAACCAGATGATTACGGATTATAGGGTCATTATTTCCAGTTTCAGAGTGAAATTATCTGCCTTATAATATATTGCAACACGCCAGACGGTTTTTCCGACGTGTGTAGTTATTTTCTCTGTGACATCACTGGTAACGTTTTATTAGTATGATTAGAAAACTAGTTTTACGTAAGGCAAGTAATTTTATTGTTGGGAGTGTCTGCATATTTTAATTGCAAACAATTGTAAATGACTCTTGGTATTGAAATTCGAGACAGGATATCCTCTTCTGTGTCTTGTAATGGTTCAACAAGATATACTTAAAGACTGCATATTTATTTGCTTTTTTAATGAATTTTATTTTATTTTATAAGTATTTGATGTTGTACACTGCTAAGTAAACTTAAATATTTTGGCATTAGTAAATCTCTTTTACACTTACTGAAATTAAATCTTTCTCATCACGTTGAAATTGTCAGTGGTTACAGATCTGATTTAGTCAAACATCAGGTATACCTCAGGGCTCGATGCTTGGTCCACTATCTTTTTTTCTTTTCATCGATGATATCACGAACAATTTTAATGTCAATGTTTTGTTGTATGCTGATGATTTGAATAACTCTTTTAAATATTATATCGGTTAAAATATTATGGCATATCTATTATTTATAAAATAACTTTTCAGCGATCATTTTGTCATCCATGCGCCCTACCACGTCCACACAGTCCACCATCACCACATCAAGAAGGTGCACGTGCCAGTTCCGGTAGTCAAGAAGGTTATTATTCACGAAGATGTCCATCATCTTGGTCACGGGGGTTGGTGGTAAATCCAACACGAATAGAACTCCATGTACCTGTTAAATAGTCACTATTATTAGGTAAGACAAGATCCGTATTTATTTGTTTGGTCAGTTAGCTTTTCAAACTACAGAAAAACGTGATCGCCAGGATAACAGGCCTTAGTCAGCGGTGGCGGGTCTCAGCTGGCGGGTCTCAGCCAGGACAGAAGGAGGCTCGGCGAAGTGAATTAATTTCAACACTGTATCCTTATTAATCATTAATCATTTCACTCAGAAATGTGGATAGAAATTGATACATTATTGTAGTAGAGTAAAATTGAGTGAAATTTTTTTACTGTGTAAACAATTTGAATGATTTTAGATATATTAATAAACTACTTACTCAATATAGGTAATCTAGTAAACAATAATATGAAAAAAATGTGAAGTACTTCCTACTTGAAAACAACTGAGTCAACTCAGAATGGTAGCTGCTGTCAATTGTTTACTACTTACAACGTTTTTGAAATCTTTTAAAATCCATTTTTATCTAGTGTTGTTACCGTAAATGGTTTGTTTACTCAACAACTCTTCGCCTTAAGTACCCTGCTGCAAGTGCTCGCTCAGGAACTAGAGGCAGTTATCGCAAATGGTCCGTCAATGGCCAGACAACAACTGTCACTTTCATGCATAAGGCTGTAGCGCGCTTGGACACTTTCTTTCTCCAAATATGTAGTCTTTACATAAATTTCATTTATTTCTCGATAATGTACCATTGGCGAGTTGCGTATATAGCGAGCAGTTGAACTTGATATGAAAGTAACGATCGTTTTACTGCAATTAAAACCAACATAAATCTTTATTTGTCCAATGTACCTACCACCATCAAATGAATTTTCTTAAACTAACCATGTACTATAACGCAACCACGGAACAGAATGTCAAGTTTGTTTAGTAACTCTGATTTGTCCCACACCACCGCGTGTGTTTCCACCTTTACAATGAATTATTTTAAGCTGACCATACACTAAAAGTTTACAACACGGATTTGTCCCAGGTTTAAATAGTTGCTTTTTTAAAACTAACGTTTTTATCTCTTGTTTTAGTTGCCTACCTGTGTCAACAATAGAGGCAGGCAAATTAAGGAAAGTGCAAAACGGCCTTCGCTGTTTTGTAGTTCCACCACCATGACATCTTACCAATGTTCAAGATAGGAATACCAGTCAAATTCTTGGTCTGTTTGTCTGTAACTAGTTATCCAATACTTTGACTTTGTATTTAAAATTGTTATTTTTATTTGTACAGTGATTTGTTTGTATTTTTAATAAATTGTATAATAAATTATTTATTAGTTTTATTAATATAATGGTTATAATGTTATGAAAATTAAACCAATAGTTGACAATAAAAAGTAATAACTATCTACAAACTTCGAGTAAAAATAATGTACCACTAAACGCAATTTAATTTAATAATATTTTACATTATTTAAATAACTAATAAGTAATAAACAGGGAAAGGAAAATCAGTTTTGCGCAACAAAAATGATTCATATTCATACTAATATGTTTTCTTCCATAGACAACCAAACATACATGAACAGAACAAACACTGATGTGAACGATGATCAATTTTTGAATACAATGTGAGCACTTTGAAATTATTGTATCATTTATTGACAGTAACTTTTAATTCCAATTACACTTTATTTTCGAAAAACATTTGTAAATTATAAATAATTTGATAAGAACTGAAAAACTATTTTAAAAAATCTGTACAAGTAATGTGACCTTCTTTTAATAATTGCATTTTTTTAGATAACTGGTACATTAATCAGAGTCCTTAATTTTAAAATTTTTGGTGGAAGAAAAATAAATTAAATCAGATTTTAAAAATGCATATCAAAATATAAACCTTTTTAGATTTAGCTGCACTTGAAAAATCAATGCAAAAATTCGGATAAGTTTATACTGAGTGTTGATCAAAGATAAGGGATTCTTGTTTATGGTTCTTTTGCAGCCATTTAGTCATAATATCATATATCACTTACGACTGATCTTTTACCATCACACAATTATGTTTCACAGTTGATATCGATGGCCATTGTATTTTACATCTTTTACAAAGTAAGGTAGACAACTCTTAATACCACCTTGAAGTATTTCTGGTTGCATAGGTTACCTACACATAGTACCTATATTTTTAAACTATTTTGTAGATTAGTTTTTAAACTGTTATACACCGCATGTCCTCGTAAATTTAACACTAAGAAATAAAACATGATTTGAAGCAACAAAAGCAGAAAAAACAAAAATTAACAAATTTTTAATACAGTGCAAACTCTTCATGAGCCCACAAACATAAATGTTTTTATTTAAAACTGCATTCCTGCGAAAACTGAGAGAATACAGTGTTTTTTATACGTAATAGATCGTAAGAAGAATAAACTGGTGATTCTTTCTTTCTGAGATATATTAAATTGCCCAGTGGCATCTTTTTTGACGAAAAGTACATCTGGTAAAACAGAATTGAATAGTTCAAAGTTCAGAGGTCACTTAAATTAGTAGGAGTGTGTTATCAGAATGTTCGTAATTAATTGTTTTCAGTTATTTTAGTGTATTTCTAGTGTAACAAAACAAAAACAATTTCAAATTTTGTTATAAAAATAAAGGACCTATTAAACGTTAATAGAGGTAAATATAATACCTATCCTGCTATAAATGTCTCTTGTCTCTGTCATTTCTCTAATAGTCAAAATGACTTTGTCAAGATGTACGATTAGAAACCGTAAGTTGTATCTAATTGTTCTGCTTGGGTCAATTTTTTTTATGTTGAATGTGAAAGCATTATTCTGAAACAAATTAAGGTCTATTTTACTTAGATCCTTTGCTACCACTGATTAAATATAAATAAGTACAATAGAACGTGTCCATTTTGATAAAGAAGATAAGTTTTTACCAATAAATTGTCAATTTTTATACATTTGTACTAAGGATGTAAATCTTGTAGCAAAACAGTGGATATTTTTTATAGTAATTAGTACTATATAATAAATAATATAACATATTAATTATAAAATTTCTTTTCCGGCATCGTATTCTTTAAGGAAGATATTAATATACCTACAAAATAGGTATATTCATTACGTTTTATTCGTAATCATTTTTAATTGGAAAACTATTTATACTCAGAAGAACAATTATTTTTTATTTATATACAGTTAGCATCACTGATCTCTGCCGGTAATATAGTACCTATAGATTTATATCTGATGGAATAAAACAAACTAAACATACAGCTATTAACCAAAAAGAAAGCTTTCTAAGTACAATCGTTTAACGCTAAAAAATGTTTCCATTTTGCGCTATTGCTAATTGGTAAAGCTTTCGATGGCATAAGTGTCAAGTTAATAATGAATTGAATGATTATTTATTCACGTATTGTTATCCGTTAATGTTCATTTTGATGTTTCATTAAATGTATCTTTTGACGATGATCAAAAAAATATCTATTTCGTTTCCTTATTGTTGTACAGATATATCTCTATACAACAAAAAAATCCTATAATTTATTTAAATTTTTTGAAAAATTTAAAAATATTTTTTGAAGTTTAACACCCTGTATCTTTTCAACGATGCGTCCTAGATAAAAACTTTATAGGAAAGACTGCCCTTAAAATTCACCAAAGAATACGAGGTTGCCATTTGTGAATCACCCTGTATTTACCAACTTTCCAAAACATTGTCTTCCAAAAAATTCATTCAGTTGCCATATTTTTGTGATATTTTAATAAACTTTAAAACCGTAACTGTTGTCCTTAAAATAAATTTAAAAACACCACTTTCATTATTAGAAAATATTTAACCAGGGTCGACGATCAATCGCGTGCCTTGATGGCTCCGCCAAGTTTCCCATTGTAAATTTTTGGTGGAAATCTTGATTGTCGACCATAGCTAAAATGTGAAGCTCGGAACTTCTCACAAGACAATGTTTATATCTGAATGGTCACAGAGAGAAAGAATACTAACGGATCCGCATGAATGAGGAGAAATGACTAATCAAAAAACATGTTACGCAAATACCCATCAATCTAACAGCACAACAACTCCGGCAACGCCGGCTTTCCTTCATGACCTTTGCGCATAGCTTAGCATCGCGCCACGCCGAATACCTCTGTTTTCTGCCGACGGTGCCTTCTTACCTTTCACCTCGCCTTAACCCGCTATCTGCGCAGGTTTCGAGAACATCGGTGAAAATCCTTTCACTGCGGCAAGTTTCTGATTTTAAATTTAAGTGCGGATCTCGCCTAGGTCAAGATACAAGCGCGGCAGCGTTTTATGGCGTTGTTTACGAAACGTAAAATCAAGAAAGTCGACGGTTGCTAAATCGCGTTGGATAACGGTTACTGTAATGACCAAATGGATTATTTAATTCTAATTCGGTATTCCGCTGCTCGGTTAGCCTTTCTCAAGGCTGTCCGAAGGTTAAGAAAGGTTATTTTTCTTTCGGGCCCTTCTGCATTGACAAAACGACAACGATTTAGTGAGAGAAAACTGCGGTTACCAATGACAAATGTAAAGTAGTCACAAAAATTAAAGAATAAAAGAAAATCTTTTTCAAGGGGTCGTAACTTGGAGAAAAATGGTCGTAGAGCGATAAAAGAAAAGCTAATTGAAATTTGAAGGTTCTAGTTTCAGGATCTGAAAATTTGTTGATGATTTAAGTTACAATTTCAATTCACAATGCCCGTAATTCAAAAAGCAAAAAAAATTTCCCCTGTTTATCAAAAGAATAGGGCTTAAAATTAATCTAAAATTCGTATTTGTCATGTCGAAAAACGTAATAGTGCCAATTTTTTTGTTCATACTATTTGCCGGAAACCTTTTGTTATAATTTTTCAGGAAATTTATTTTGTAGACTTCGATGCTTAATACAAAAGGGAACCTAACATATTCTACTTTAAGTGTATATACTTACAGTGTGTTGCTTAGATTCACAAATTATAGTACTAAAAACGATCACCAGACCATTTTAAGAACAAAGATATATAAATACTAAATAGTAATTACAAACAAATGTCCTAAAATTCTTGAGATACCTACACATCGTTGAATACTTAAATTTTGTCCTGCTTAATATTTTGATGTACTTTTGCAATCCTCACATGATTCTGAACTAAACATGCCTCTTGTTATTTTCTCGTTTAAGCTCTATTTTAGGAAATTTTTCAAGTAATGCACTTCAATGCTCGCATAGAAAGGAAATCTAATTTGTTCTGACAATATTCTCAAGTAGTGACATATATTGAAGAGGGCCATGCTTTGTATAATTTTAATGCAAATACTTGAAATAAACTCATTTTCTAAAATCTCACACTTAAGATTCATTCCACAAAATTAATTTTTAAGTAGTCAGTTCGCCAATTCCAATTGTTTTTCGTATATCTACCTAAGTATATCTAGGCCACGTGGATTGAAGAAAGCGATTTTCAACTGTTAATATCTTGAAAATAACGCTAAGATAGAAAAAGTTTTATAAACAAACGTTTTTGCAGCTGAGGAAAAAGATACTGAAAATGAGAAACCGTTTTCCGAATATAATTCTCTTCGATGGGTTTCACATAAGTGCACTTACCAAGATATATTGATAACCTTGCACTTAGATAGATGTTATTAGTAACTGTCTTTTTTCAAAGGTGTTTTTGACCGAAAATTTGTTTCTCCTCAAGAAACCATAAGAGCCATAAGTTGTTAACTTACTCAATTAAATTGCACGCCCTGTATGTGAAATTTTCTCTGGTTATTCTCTCATCGAAGATAAATGAAAACTCTATCTGATTCTCTTACTTCCGGTATTTAATTGATGCGCAGGTAGATACACAATATAATTAAACAGTTAATTGGGCATTGTTAGTAACGAAATAAATAAATTCTTAATTATTGTAATAAAAACAATACTAAATTTCTTTCTTATTGTTAATAATTACGTTTCATTCGAATAGGTCCAGAAAACGATAAGGAAGATTTCGATGAATGCACAATTAAAGGATAGTTAGGATATGTTATTTTACAAAGTATTTACATAAGAACCTATATCATTCTATAAATTAATGGCATTGATAGAATGAAATTAAAAGGGTTCTTCTAATACGAATGATTAAAACGAGTAAGGTTACCGATCATCCATATGTTTTTAAGACAAAACACACGATTATAGATGGTAAGATTTCTAAACGTTTGTAGGTTTCGTATCAATCATTTTTTCGATGTTTATAAAGAAAACTTTCATCAAAGGAAGC